TTCGCACGTTTCAAGATCTTCAAACTGTTGTTTTCCAACGAGGCAACTCCCTCAATGGAAATGAACCGTTGTAGGGCCCTATGAAGAGGGAGCTTGGAGGGAGGATGAATTCCAACATCGTTGATGACTCTCGGGTTTCCACTGGTCCTCCTCCTCCTCCTCCTCCACCCCCACCCCCATGCTCCTCCACCTCCTCCACCTCCTCCTCCTGCACCCCCCATCCTACCCCTCCATCCCCGTTCCTTACACATAACTTCTCCTCGTCGCGCCACCAGCTGTGTCGGCAGGCCAGGTCGGGCGCTTCTCCTGAGACTTCTTCGCCGAATGGGATCCTGAAGCTTGGTATCTGCATCATTTTCGACGATGGAACGCAAGTCGTTCTCAACATGTAGTTCTCGCCATAGCGCCACGTACATTCGTCTTGAACGTTTGCAGCAACTTCAGAGACGGCGGCCGGTTCCTTTTCAACATGTGGCTCTCGCCTTAGCGCCGTGCGCACTCGTCTTCAACAGTTCACAGCCGTTTCAAGGAGTCGTAGGGTTGAAGTCCCAGGAATGGCGTCCTGGCACGGTTCAGGGATGTCAGGACGGAACAGTCACGTTGGTTCGCGGCGTTGAAATCCCATGAATGGCGTTCTGGCACGATCGACACTTGTCAGGACGTAACAGTCTGGTTGATTCGCGGCGTTGAAATCCTACGAATGGCATTTTGGCAGGTTCCATGGCTCTCACGCAACTGTCATTCAATGGGAAACTTCCCGCGATGAAGCTATATTCTTGTAGGGGCTGCTGAAGAGGGAACTTGGAGGGAGGGCTTATCGCTATCATCGTTATTGCGCCTTGGGTTTATACTGGTCCCTCTCCTCCTCCGCCTCCACCTCCGCCTCCTCCTCCTCCTCCTCCTCCTCCTCCTCCTCCTCCCCTCCCCATCTTTCCGAAAAGGCGCTCGAGGGTTCGATGCGTCGAATGTTCGCAGCGATCGAAGACTCGACGGCCCGAGATTTCGAGGGACCCAGGGCTGAAGCAGTCGAGGGCCCGAACGATCGAGTGATCGAGGGTTCGAGTGCCGAGGGATCGAGGACTCGAGGGCTCGAGGATCGAGGACTCTAGGATCGAGGGCTCCAGGGTCGAGGATCTGAGGATTCGAAGCCGTTCGGCTAGAGGCGAAGTCTGGATTCGAGGATCGAGGATTCGGCCGAGGCGAATGTCTTGGTTCGACGACTGGAGCCCAGACCTCCAACGCACTGAACATGAACCCGACGCGATCCTAAACAGGGGCGGCTTGTTTCCAAAAATGCAAAGCAGCTCTGAGCAACGCAAATCAATGCAATGCAAAGAGTTGCTTGGTATTGAGTGTGAACCGTTGTGCAACATTGCTTGGCACTGTTTGGTACTGCTGTTCCGCTCAGCAATGTTTGACATTGCTTGGCGTTGTTTTGAAAATCAACAGCTAAGAAACAACTCTACATGTTCTCTCACAGCGACGGGAGATGCGCTTTACATGTACGAACCGATGTTGGATAACAACTCAATATTAAAATATGCAGATGGTGGTTATTGAGAAGATGTTTACATAGCCTTTGCGCTGTTTGACATCGTTTGGCATGGTATTGGTTTTGCATTGAATGGCGTTGCTTTGCGTCGTTTGGCATTGCTTGGAATTGCGGTTGCTTGGAACTGCTTTGCCCTGTTTGGAACTGCTTGGCATTGCTTTGCATTGCTTGGCGTTGCTCGGCACTTCCATTGCACGGGGGACCCCTGGCAATCCCGAGCACTGCAAGGGGGTGCCAGGGCGACCCCGGGCCAACCCTGGGCAGCCCTGGGCAACCCTGGACAACCCCGAGCAAGTCCGAGGAAAACCCAGGCAACGCTGGGGAGCCGCCTCCAACGAAGGGCCCCACGCCCACCAACTGGTATCACAAACATTGCAAGCAAGAGCCCCTTAGGCAAAGCTCGACTGGGGAAAAATCCACAGGGACTTTTGTTCGCAGAATTCGGCCTCTGGGGGCGCTCACTGGGCCCCGGGACCGCAAACAGAAGAGCTCGGGATGACAAGCTGGCCCTGGGAAAAGGGCCAGAACTTCCGAGAACCCCATGCTGAAACAAAATCGAGGCGTCGGATCTCCCTGATGGCTGAGGTGTCGAACTTTTTAACTCCGCGGGCGTCAAGTGGTCAAGGACAGTCAGACGCCGGTCAACAAGCGGTGCGATGCATCGGGAGCGAATAGGGGCACTAAGGCAAACAGGACGGGGCGCGAGGGAGATAAAGGAAGGAGCCCGCTCAGACCATGAAAGCCGGCGCGGGGGTGCCGTGGAAGAATTTGCAAGCGAGCTGCGGAGCAGCGGCCGGGGTCAGCTTGATGAGGTAGGCCTTGAAGCGGCTCAGGATGCCCAAGCTGCAACTCGGCAAAAGGAGTCGGAGACCACGATGGTGAGGTAAACCATGACGAGGCACTGGATGGCAAACTGCGGCTCGGAAAGTAGCCGGCCAGTGTAAGGATGTGGATGCCATGACAATGGACACCCTAGCAATCCAATCGTTGAAATTTAAATGTGTTTACAATGTAGTAAACAAGTTCTAAACATGTTCTGGCAATGTTTCAAACATGGTTAAATCATGTTAAAGACATGTTTTAGACATCTGGAAATTATTTGGCAACACGCCTCCTCCCCATTGATCGTCCCCCACAAGTGCAGGGGAAGGCCTCGAGGGAGAACACGAAGAAGCGACCGCTGTGAGGCGCCGACCATGCCTGTTGCTGTTTGCTGTTTCGCCCCTCTCGGCCTCTGGAGCTCCGGAGGCTTCGGGCCCTGGGCACCGCTGGGCCCGCGGCGGCCACATCGGCGGAGGACCGCGGGACCCAGGGCCGGGTCCCAGCGCCAGAGCGGAGCGGTCGGACTGCAGTCCTCCCCCTCCTCTTCCTCCTCCTCCTCCTCCTCCTCCTCCTCCGCCTCCTCCTCCTCCTCCCCCTCCTCCTCTCCTCTCCTCCTCCTCTCCTCCTCTCCTCCTCCTCCTCTCCTCCTCCTCCTCCTCCTCCTCCCTCCCCTCCTCCTCCTCGTCCTCCTCCTCGTCCTCCTCCTCCCCCTTCCTCCAGGTCGCTGGCCAGCCGCAGGGTTCAGAGCACGCACGGGGGGACCCCCGAGGGAGCGGGTGCCCCGCCAAAAAGTCACGCCATCTGCGAGCAGGTGGGGCCCTCTGCGGCCAACCCTGAGACAGGGACGGTGAGGGTGGCCCGGCGAGGCACCAGCGGCCTGCAAGGCACGAGCCGAGAAGTGGACCCAACCACCCGAGGGGGCCAACTGGGCAGTCGCCCAAGTCCAGTGCGGACGCACAGACAGTTTGCTTCAGGGAGAGGTGTGGAATGCTGGCGTATACTCGCGAGGAAGACTGCGGCCGAAGTGCACATCATGAGGCCGCACCGGCGCGCCCCTAGGTGCGCACCTTCGGCCGCAGCGGCGCGGGGAAGCCCACTCCCCACAACGGCCCCGCTCAGATTGCAAAACTAGCTCGGGGGAGGAGCCAGCACCGCGCCTTGGAATGCACTGGACACTGTGAGTGGGAGGCCCAGGGGGCCAACGAGGGCTTTGCACAGGCATGGCGCTCGAAACAAGCCACTGGCGGACCCACGAAAGTAAGGGCAACTTAGCCCGACATGGGGTAGTAATAATGAATTCGAACCCACGAAGGTTCGGGATGCTGAATGCTCTGCGGATGCACTTGACGAGCTGGCTGCTTGAGCTGCCGTGACAGCCGCCTCCAATCTGAAGGCGGCCGCCACACGACGAGCTCCGATCTAGCATCCTCCTCTTCGGGGGTAGAGGGGGAATCATCAAGCCACGGGCTCGAGACGAGCAACGCACACGTCTTGGGATGGAAGCCTGACAAGATCTGCGATAATGCATCACGGCGGCCGTTGTCGCTCTTAGAACTAGTGGGGGGATCCACTCATCTTCTCAAAGGGATGCGAGCTCGGCCGCCAGTAGTGTAACACTTGCACTTCAAACGAGCTAGAGGGATTGGCCTGTGGAGGTTGTTCCTGAAAAAGTCTCCTGCCAGGCCTCCAATGGCAGGAATTGGTAGGAGCACCTTTGCACCCACTCTGGCTGGGTCTCGCGAGGGCTCTCAAGGACCTCGAGCACGCAGGGTGCAGAAGGGGGCAGAGGTTGAGGACGAGGAGGGTGAGGAGAGGAGCAAAAAGAGGAGGAGGGGTGAGGGTCCAGGCTTGTGGGCGTGTCTGACCCCTTCCTGGTGGCCTCCACGAGGCCTCCGGGCGGATGCCTCCGAATCGGGCCTCCGCGGGCTGGGGGCCTCCGTAATCTTCCCGCTCCTCCGGCTCGGTTTCCTCCGCCTCCCCCTTCGCCTCCGCCTCCTCCCCCTCCTCATCCCCCCCCCGTCCTGCAGTCCTGATACTCGGTCGTTTTCAGCTGAGTTCTACAATGGTCGTCGGAGCCAGTGATGTCGGGTTGCATGGGGCCTTGCTGGTTGGCACACTCTGGGCGAAGAAACTTGAAACTGCTCCCGACACCAGACAGATCCCCCTTGAACGTGTCTAAGGACTCAACGATCATATCAGGACTGATCATATTGCTCATCAAACCCACAAATAACCCTGATCCGAATGGTGGGGTTGGGTCCTACAGACCTGAGTGATTCAAATATCCCCCACAACTGATTCGAATCATGTTTCAGCTCTGGGCGGCGAAGTCCAGTGGGTGTATGTGCATGTGTAGGAGCAACTGTAAACAAATAGACGCGCGTGTGTTTGCGAAGTCGGATTCGGAAGCGGACATGTACTAATGTGCATCTGCAACTCACTCTGTACACTGAGTGGGGAAACAGCCGCCGGCCGCATGACACATCCCATGAACGTCGCATGTGGTATGCTCGCCCAGGTTGTCTGACAAATGCAACTGCGTAACTTCAGTCGCTCGTTTGGGGGGTCAGATGACTACGTGTGGTGCTACACAACCGCGGTGTCACACGTCGGACCACCGGAGAGGATAGGAAACGCGGACCTCCCTCCAAGCCAAAGCTCGGCCCCGGCGGTGTAGGTGCTCCCAGGGCCCCGATCCCTAAAAAGGCATGCAGAACCGGAGCCGCCCGATGTCAAGCTCCCGCAGCCAACCTGCCAGACCAAGCCACCGATCCTTCTCGCACCTATTCTCCCTTGTCCTCCCCTTCTTCGGAAGAAGAAGATGGGAGCGGACATAGAGCGCGTTTCTTTATGTTCGGCGATGACGGGCGTCATGGGGGGGGGAGGGAGGGCGGGAGGGGGTATGACGTGACGCCCCCCCCCGCCGTGTGGTTCCGGCAACACAGCCGCGCCCGCGCGCACGACGCGACGAGCGACGAGCAACGAGCGACGACGACGACGCGAGCAGCATGTAAGTGGCGATCTGCCCATTGCGCCTTTGTGCACCACAACGCACAACGCTCGCGTGCACCACACCGCGCGTGTGCACCACAGCGCCTGCGTACACCGCAACAGCCGTGTGCAACGCACCGCCCGCGTATACCATAATACTTGGGAGCACTACAGCGCTGGTGTACATACGCCGCAGCAGCCATGTGCAGCACAACGCCTGTGTACACCACTGTGCTTGCGTGCGCCGCAGCGCCTGTGCACGCCACAGCGCCTGTCTACACCACAGCATCCGCGTGCAACGCAGCGCTGGTGTACACCACAGTGCCTGCGTGCATAGGACAGGTAGAAGGAGCATGTACGTCAGGATCTGCTGCGGACAACTAAACGCCACGCCAGGAAAGTTCTGATAATCGAATGCGACGTTTTTCCCTCCTCCCTCCTCCTCCACCTCCTCCTCCTCCTCCTCCTCCTCTTCCTTACCCCCTGTCGTGCGGCTTGGCGTTACAACGCACGTGCGCATCTCAGCGTGCACCGCAGAATGGTCGATTGAATCGGTCCACTTGGTTCTCGGACGGCCAGTTTAGCTGGAGCCTCCTGGACGCAAGTGGGAGTTAGGGTGATGCGGGCGAACTGGGGGGGACTCGTAGATTCCAGCGGCGCTCCTTCGTCCATGATGATTTGTTTTCCATTGTTTTCTCTCGAACCCACACGCGCTCCATTTTGTCACAAGGATTCCTTCTGAAATTCTATACACAACAATGGTGCTGTGTTGCACACGGCTGATGTGGTGCACACAGGCGCCGTGGCGTACACAGGCACTGCAATGCACGCAGGCATTGTGGTGTACACTGGTGCTGTGTTGCGCACGGCTGATGTGGTGTACGGAGACGCTGTGGTGTAAACAGGAGCTGCTGTGCCCGCAGGCACGGTGGCACAAACTGACGCTGTGTTGCACGCGGCCGCTGTGGTGCACATCGGCGGTGTGGTGTAAACAGGCGCTGCGGTGCACGCGGGCACTGTGATGTACACAAGGGTTGTGGTGCATATCGCCACCTACATGTTCGTGCTACCCGTCCTCCGCCATTCCTGAGCATTCCCAGACGCCGCCGGCGCGAAACGTGACATCATCGACCCCCCCCCCCAAATGATTGCCGTCATCGGCCCAGACTTAAAAACAGGCTCCAACCGCGTCCGCGCGCACGACGACGATAAGCGACGAGCGACGAACCACGAGCGACGACGACGGACGACGACGACGACGACGACGACGACGACGACGCCTGCGGACCAGACACCTATGCGGATTCCTACGCGGACACCTACGCGGATCCCAATGCGCACGGCGGCCGTGCCCCCTGGAGCGCACTGGGGGGGGGGGGGAGCGTTACGTCATAGGGGGGGGGAGGGGGGGGAGCGGGGGCCATGCCGCCCGTCATGCCCCAAGCAATAAAGAAACGGAATCATAGAAAGATCCGCTGCCCCTCAAAGGGGGTCATCATCGCAACGGAAGTGCTGCAGAATGGCCTGCCAGGTTACCGTCACCACATTCAGGGGGAGGGGCGGAGGAGGAGGAGGAAGAGGAGGAGGAGGAGGATGGGAGGGGGAAAGAGGCAGGGAAGCAACGCGGTCCAAAACACCTAGTCCCTCTTCCTCCTCCTCATCCTCCTCATCATCGTCCGCATCCTCTTCCTGCCGCCCCAGGGATCGGGATCCCTTGGCGAGTGGAGGCTTGGCAGGCGACAGTCGCCCGAGAGCTAGCACTTGGTCTGCCTCCTCATGTCGAAAGGGTCGCCCAAGGAGCGAATACTCCGCTCGGATTGCGTTTTGCAGAGAATTAGCTAATCCCACAAGCTTTCCGGGACGGATCCAGCACACCGAGGCGGTCTGGAGGGTTCCGTTCAAGACGCCGAAACCCCAGGGCACGGACGACGACGACTATTCGCCTCCCTCCTCGTTTTCCTCCTCCTCCTCCTCCTCTTCCTCCTCCCCTTCCTCTTCCTCCTTTTCCTTCTCGTCCTCCTTTTCCCCTTCTTCCCCTCCTCCCCCGCGCCGCCAGGCTGCGCTGGTCGCGGCCTGGATCTGCTCATACCGCCGGTCACGGTGGGCGGGACGTTGGGCAGGAAGCCGGCAGAAGCCTCTAAGGAGCAGGAGGAGGGGAAAGAGGAGGGGGAAGGGTGAGGAGCAGGAGGAGGGGAAAGAGGAGGGGGAAGGGAAGAAGGGGGAGGAAAAAAAAAAGGAGACTGGAAAGAGAAGAAGAAACGCAGCACCCCGCAATTGCGGATAAGAGTAGAGGGGCGGGCGCGGGGTGGGTACAGGGCGGGTCGCGGGTGAGTGGCGGGTGGGTCGCGGATTGGGTCGCGGGTGGGTGGCGGATGGGTCGCGGGGACGACGACGACGAAAACAAAAGGACGACAACAACCATAAGGACAGGGACATTCCCTGGGCCCCGGCGCTCGGGCTCTTCCAGCGCTCTCCTCCTTTGGGGGGCAAGGGCCCTTCCGAGGCCCCGGAGCGTCCGCGCCCCCCCCCCCCCCCCCCCGGAACAACACAACACAACAACGGTCCGGGTTTAATTAAACGACGAATTATTCCAGCAAAGCAACCTAACAGCCATGTGTATGAGCATATATGGAAGCATTCTTCTTTAGATTCATGTTCGGATTTGACTGGAAGCGAAACGCTGCGATCAATAGTGGACGTGTCTGCAAAGGAAGCACTACTATCAACGAGACAGCACATTCTTTTTGTGCCCGTTCCAAACGAGACGCTGCTACGCAGGGGTGTAGGTGCAAACAAGACGCTGCTATCAATGGCTTCCGCCCTGAACGAGACACGAGTATCAATAGATTTAATTTCGAATGAGACACTACTACTTACTACTGCGGATGCGCCTGGAAACGAGACGCCGCTATCAATAGTGGATGTCTCTGCAAAGGAGGCACTGCTATCAACGAGACAGCGCATTGTTTTGTGTTCATTCCAAACGAGACGCTGCTATCAATGGATGTAAGTCCAAACGAGACACTGCTATCACTGGATTCAGCCCCAAACGAAACGTGCTGAGGAGCACCGTATCTCACTATCCACGGCTGCACACGAGTGCAGGTTGAGAAGCACCACGCGAATGCAGGCTGAGAAGAACCATGCGAATGCAGACGGCCAGGCTGAACATCACCGCCACAAAGCAGGCTGCATCTCAGGGCTCATCAAGCTCGCGCAGGCCAGCCCAGCGCCTGTCGGGCCTTCGCGCAGGCGATTTTTGTCGCGGCAATCTTGTCTGCGAAGAATTCGTCGAAGGCCTTCGCAATCTGTTCTGGGGGGCCTGACTCGATGATGCCCCGGTCAGGCAAGCCGTGGCTCAAGAGCTGGCCGAAGCTCCGGGGCCGCGACAGGCTGACGTAGTAGGCCAGCCAAATGGACTCTTTCTTGAGTCCTGGCGGAAACGTCCAGTGCACGATGAAGCCTGGGTCCGCCGTCTTGCCCTGCACGCCATGCAGAGTGCCCTGCTTCTTGGGCAGCACGGTCAACTGTGTCCTGGAGACCGCGATGGCCGGGCCATCCGCCGTTGCTTTGAACTTCCAGGGACGGGCCTGCGGGGCAATCGCGAGCACTCCACGCAGGTCAGGGCCGGCAGGCTGAGAAGCACTGCCAGCAGTCACCGGCGCGGCCTTCAAGAAGAGCTCATCGCTGTCATCGATCTTGACATAGACGGCCTTGGGCATGTAGCGGAGTACCGCAACACCATCCGAGACAACGGACGCGCGACCCTCCACCGGAGGCTCCAGAGCGTGCTGCTCTATGGCTACCACCGTGCCCGGCGTGCCGCGGACATACCTAGGCGGCAAGACGGACTCCGTCAGGATGACCTCCATGCCGAGGGAGAGCGGCAGCAGCCCCGGCATTGTTCCAGTAGCGCCGATGTTGGGCTCCGCGCGCATCTTGTCGAAGTCAGGCTTCGCGAGGCGCGCAGCTGGTCTGTCGACTGCCAGCGCGTAGAAGAGCAGCTGGCCAGCATCGCGCGCATCAAGCTTGGCCTGCGCACGCATGGCGTAGGACGAGAAAAATCGATTTACACAACGTGCTATTGATGCGTTCCGGAAATTGCGAGATTTCTAACAGCCTTCGCGCGGGGTACCCTTTGCGTCGAGAATTGTCTACTCTGGCTGGCGCCGCTGGTCGGCCACCCATTCGCAATCGAGTGGTCGCCCGTAAGGGGCTACTTGGCATTTGCTGACCCCCCTTCTCGTTGCCGAGCGCGGGAGGGGCGATGGTGCACCGTCCAATCGCCCGCCGCCGCGCACCGCGCGCCCCGGCGGATTTCCAAAGACCTGGCAAGGCGAATTACGCGCGACTCTGGAAGCTTCTCCAGGGTAAACTTGAACAAATCCGGGAACGTTTTTGAACATGTCCGGCCTATTTTTTGAAAAATACCAGAACCGTTTTTTGCAAACTTCCGGGATCAATTTTGAAAAATTCTGGAATCCATTTTGAAAAATTCCGGATTTCAGAATTCCTCAGATGTCCTGCGCGGCGGGCGCATTCCACCCCTCAAAACTTTTTTTTTCTTGAAAATTTCCGGGCTACTTTTTGAAAAATTCCGGAACCGCTTGCGCACAAAAGAAAGCGGAAGCGTTTTCTGACACACTCTACAATCCAAAAATAATGTCCGGGCGGTCCGACGGGCGCGGCCAGCTGATTCACGCGCCGCGCCGCGCGAGATTGGGCGCGCCGCGCGCCGCGCGTTGCGCCCGCGAACAGTACTCGAAGGGGCTACTTCGAAAACAGCGCCACGGCAGCTGCGACTCGCGGACTCCCCAGGACCAGCGCAGCATGCAGCTCGGAATCTTCGAGGGCGCTCCGGTGCGCGAAAATGCACCGCGAACATCACGCAAAGAACCTGCGCGACGGAATGCGCTCGACCATTCGTCCCCGGAGCCCGCGCGGAAGAACAGAAAAACCTGGAAATCTGGAAAACTATCAATATCAATACTTCATGCTCTCTGAGTAAGAGACGATGCGCCACTCATATGCCGACTTGTACCAGCCTCGGGCTGCACGCAACCGGTGGCCCCACTGGGGTTGCTGAGCGGCTTCGCTGGTGCTGGCAGCAGGCTGACCAGCACCGCTGGAGCTAACGATCTCTGTTTTGAGGATCGCTTGCCAGCTCTCGTCAGATATCTTTTTGCCGCCTGGAGTCCTCATGGCGTGAAGGACCTCGACCTGCAGCGGGTCTGTGAAGCGCTGCATCTGCGCGAAGTCGACGACGAACTCGAAGTCGGCGAGCAACTTCCGAGCCTGTTGGTGCTCGTAGGACTGGCCCGTGTGAGGTGCCAGCAGGGAGGCGCCGGCGGGGACCGGCGGTAACTGGTAGAAGTCCCCGCAGAGGATCTTCGCCGGCATGCGCCCCCACGTCTCCTGCGGGAGCATGTACTTGGTAGAATCGAGGTTGCAGCGCAGCGCCCTGCCGTAGGTCGTGCGCCGCGCATCCGCATGCAGCAAGGGCCCCGGCACAGCACCCAGCTCATCGATCACGTCGACGCCGAGTGTGCTTGTGAGGCGGTCGAGCTTTTTCTGCGTCTGCGAGGTCAAGCGCAGCCTGGCGGTCTGCAGGGAGTCCGACATGAGGATGCCGTTGGAGGAGTGCAGCGTCCTCCCGCGCGGGCCGAGGTTGTGGGCCGCGTGGTTGGACTGTGCTTTGGCGAGGTAGCCGTGCTCGCCGACGTAGATGATGGCCATGGGCTCCACCACTCTGGAGAGGGTGCGTGTCTTGCCGACGCCGCCTCCTCCGAGCCAGATTGCTCTGTGGTTGCCCGTCGCGGACACCACGGGGAGCAGATGCGTTGTCTTGTCTGGCCTGCCGTCAAAAAGTTTCTGCCGGGGCAGCGCGAACAACGCCGCCGCGTCAATCTGCTCCTCCGCGCACTCCGCATCAGTGACCAACTTCCACGCAACAGCCGCCGGGCCCTGCATGGCCAAGAGCTGCGGCACGAGCTCCGGCTGCGCGCCCTCAGCAGCAGGCTGAGGAGCACCACTGGGTTGCCAGTCGCCCCCAACATCGGGCAAGGTCTCTCCATCCGGACTCGCTTGCTTCTTCTGGAGCGCAATGCTCTGCCGCTGTAGGGCCAGCATGTCAAAGAAGCTGTCGTCCAGCCGCGTGCCCGGATGCTCTCGCGCGCCGCTGCTGGCTGGCTGCGCAAAGCTCGCCTGCAGCATGCCGCCGCACGCTCGGCCCAGGTTCTTCAGCTGCTTATCCGCGTAGCTGAGGCGGCTCTTCTGGCTCAAGCGCTGCAGTTGGTCTTGCTGCAGAGCCAGCTCGGTTGCTCTGGTGTGGTCCCGCAGCGGAAACATGGAGATCTCGGTAATTTCGGCGTCCTCAACTTCCTCCTCTACGTCGCTGCCACCGCCTCCGCCCACGTCAACGAGCTCCAGCGGGACCCGGCCCTTGAGCCCTCCGCCTCCAGGTGCGCAGCCGCTGCCGGCCGAGGCTTAACCCGCGCCTCCGCCGCGAGGTCCACGTGCGCCAGCACGTCTCGCGCCACGTACGCGCAGAACTCCGCCAAAGTGCACTGCTCCTCGTGCCATCGGCAGCGGTGGTTGCTGAAGGCGAGGATGCGCCGGGCCGCCTCCGCAGGCATACGCCGCGCCAGCTGGGCTCTTGCGAAGTTCGCTAGGCTGAGGAGCACCAGCTCGCCCTCCTCGAGGTTCGCCCGGGGTTCTTTCGGCTCGGAGAAGAGGGTCGCGCCCGCGAGCACGAGCCTCTTGCGGGCCAGGCGGCACCTGGAGTCCGCGCGCGCCGCCGGCACGTGGATCTCCGCGCGCCGAAGTCGCCGCGCCCGCTCGAACGAGCGCGGGCGCACGGCGGGGCAGTCGCAATTCTTCAACATATGGCTGTACTGGATAACGCCGCCACAAGTGAGGGGGCCCTCGCACGCCCAAGGCGCGAAGAGGAGGGCCTTGAAGAGCGAGTTCTGCTCTGGGTCCTGTGCCCAGGTCGGGCACTGGAAGCCGTCGATGGCGGGGGCGTCCATCCGCGTCAATTGGACCTCCTGCACGCACCGAGGAGCCATGGCGCAATGGTTCTCGAAGACGAAGAATCTCGGCCAAGAAGCTTCCACACGGCTCGGCTTCAGGACTC